CACATATATTATGACAGCAGAAAGTAACATAATAAGCTTAGGCAGCAGAAAGTCAGAAACAAAATGCAGAACAAGTCTTAAAATATAGAATAACTTTAGTGAGGCTAAACACTCCACCATAGGTAGGGAGAGAGATAGAATCAGTTGAAAAGGAGAGAGAAGGGCGGGACACAAGAAACTGGCTTTTATATTTGTCCCCTAGGAAAATCTAAGTTCTTAAATTAAACAATAATTATCCTTTCCTAAATATTGAAGACAAAAATGAGTACTAATTTTTCCTTTATGATAACATTTAAAGATTGAAGAGGAAAAGCTGCACCATCAAAGAAAAATATTTATTAATAAAACAATGAGATGTGACCAGGGCTGGGCTAAGCCTCGATATGAGCCATGAAAAGAGACAGTGCAGGAGATTGTTTGTTTGTTTGAAAAGTATGTAAAAGTAGCAATTAGTTTGATGGCTTAGTTTGTACTCAATATTTTTGATCTGGACAATCACAAATCTGAAGATTCACAAATCCAGTGAACTTGGCTTGGTTCTTTTTAAAAATTGCTAACTAGACATTCTAACTGTTCAATCGACTCTTATCAAAACCAGGGCTTAAAGATTTCACCATATTTATACAATGTTTAGACATAGTAGCCCACATAAATTATTACATTTTTCCTCACAACTGTCTTGACATTTATTTAGCCTTGGCTTAAGCCTTAAAAATTTATATAATCCTATATGCTAACAACCCATAAAGCCATAAAACCTCTTGTACAAATCTCAAAGCAGGACACATTAAACGTAAATATTATTTTTAGAATCATAACGCTCTTGCAAATATGCTCAAGTGAGAAACTGGCTGGGAATTTGCTTTCATGTATTTTTGAGGATTTCAAGATATATTTTTAGAAACTATAAAAAGCACGGGAAAAATCGTTGCCAGACACATAAACAGACTAAAGGGACAAACTTCGTGCTTTGAAAAGGTGCCATTGATAGTTACATATAAACAAGCTGAAAATTGAGTCCAACCTCCAAAAATATTCTAAGTTCAAATGTGTTACAAATCATTTCTCCCTGGCCCCTGACACAAATGGGAGCATTTTCCATATCTGCATATGTTATTACAGTGGTTTCACGGACTGTTACATATGTTTACCAAGTCAAATCTTAATGTAGCAAGGGCATGGAACAGGTCCTAAAGATTTTACGTCTGACGTCTCAAAAGTATATCTCTCATCTTGGAATTTTATAATCTTTAATAGATACAGAAAATATATGACACACTAAAGTAATCAAAGCCAAATGTAGAGAATTTTTAAATGAAATTGTATTCTAAAAGTAGGCTTGAGAGATAGCTCAAGGATAAAAACCTTACCGCATGAGTGTTAAAACCTGAGTTTGAGTGTGTGGAACCCATGTGACGTGACACACAGTACCCTGAATCTGTAATTACAGGGCCCATTTGCTGAGACAGGAGATGGAACAAGGAATCTAAGGAAGCTGGCTAGGCCCCTAGGCATACCCATAACAGGTAAGAGACCAGTGGATAGTAAGGACCAGTCCATGGATTTTTTTTTTCCTGAACTTCACATATGAGGTGGAGATTTCACTTACTCATATGCACAAAAGTGAACATAAACAGAAAGATTTTTTAGTTAAGTAAGACAAATGAGCTTATTCAAACTTCTCTTAGCCTAGGCTAAGCCATGCATTTGATTCTACAAAAGCAAAATGCATAAGAAGACACAGAGCATAGCAGGGTGGCACACGCCTTTAATCCCAACAAGCACTCAGGAGGCAGCGCCAGGGAGATCTCAGTGAATCTGAAGCCAGCCTGATATACAAACCCAGATCCAGGACAAGAGGACAGGTAGAACTGTGTACAAAAGAGAATGTTCCAAAAGGAGAGGAGAGAGAGAGAGAAAGGGAGAGAAAGAGAGACATAGAGGAAGGGAGAGAGGGAGCAAGGGAGAAGGAGAGATAAGGCATATATTATGAATATATTTAAATGTTATTTTATCAATTAGCATCTTCTAAAGATGAGATGATGCTAACATATCTCAGAAGTAAAGTGGTTAGCTGACCATCTTTTTCTTGGTGTGCATGAGCCAGGGCATAAAATGTAGTCTACTATTATGCAATGTATTGGCAAATGTGTATGTGTAAAAATAAGAAAGAAAAGAGGAGCATAGATAATTGTCAATGGGCAAGGGCAAAATATTACAGTCCAATCTGGCTGTCAATAGGACAATAGGACTCTAGTAAAAGTTTCTGAGTTTTAAACACATATGGTTGCATATATACAAGAAACCAAGCAACCAAATGGGAGAAAATCTTTATCAACAGTTCTTAGACAAGGAGTTAATGTCCAGAATTTTCAAAAAATTGTAGAAACTAAATGCCAAAGAAATAAAACTGCTACCCAAAACATGGCCTGATAAGGAGACTGGACAGTTTTCAATATATGAAACATGGGAAGCCTATAGGTCTATTTAAAGTCTTCTACATCCCTATACATCAGAGAATGCGAATTATAACTTTGAGATATAAACTCATTACACTCACAACAGTTGTCATCAGAAAACATGACAAACAGTTGGAGAGTATACAGAAAGAGGGCTCTCATTCACTGTGGTATGTTGAAATGTAATACAGCTACCGTGGAAATCATATGGGCGATCTCTCAAGGAAAAAAAAAACAGAAATACTTCAAAACAAAACAAAACAAAACAAAAAACAGAACTATCTTGTGACCAAGCTATTTCACTTCTGAGTAATACCGAAAGACCCTCAGACTCTACCATAGAAATGTCTACACCACTCTGTTCATTGTTGCTTACGCTCCCAGAAAAAATAGAACCAACCTAGTTACCCTTCATGAAATGAATAGGTAATGAAAATCAGGTATATACATAATACTATTCAACTCTAAAGAAAGCTAAACCCCCAATTTTTTATGATAATTACAAGATTTAAAATGTTAATCATTATACACGGCTACATGGATTCAGAAGGAAAAAAACACATATGTGCACACAAACAAAAGCAAAAAACCTGCTTGATGCTTATACTCCATCATACACATTTCAGTCCACGAAAAACGTTGTGACGCTACTTGTTTTCTAGTTATAACTCTGCCATAAATAAATTGCATAAAAACATATCTAGTCGTGAAAGTATAAAGTGCAAAATCCATTCTGAGCTGCACAGCTACGGAATGACTATTGTAACTGTATAAATGTTCATCAAGATGTGTGGACTTTGGGTCTGGTTAACTTCACAATGTGATGTTTTTATTTTCAAATTCTTTATACTAACGTTTTAATATAATTTTTTAAAAAGAAACGAAGCCAAACTGCAGTCTGCGTTAGAAGGCACCTTTGCAGGGTCTTTGAGCTCAAGCATCTTTGTCATCCACTGACACTTTATTGCCTGTCAGAGCTGTGTAAATACTGAACCCTCGCGGAGCCGGGGTGCTTCTGCTGATCTTCCATTTCTGTGGTTCAAACTGAAATTATCCAGGGGGAGAAGTGTCACTGGAATGTTTAGGAAGGCTGCATTTTCAGCTTTATCTTCCTTCCGAAGTGCTCAGGGATCTGTTTCTCATCCACATCACGGAGAGCTTCGCTAACCTCCCTCAACCCTCGCCATTTTTTATCTCACTTTTAGCGTCGAGATGGGGGCTAGGCCAACAGTCACAGGCGATTCCAGAAAAGCAACATCCCTGCTGCTGGAGATTTTGGATGTGTCAGACAAATTCCAGAGACATTTGAACTTCACAGAGCAAAAAGAAAATCTTTACGGCGACTTGAGCAGAACATTATACAGTTGTCATTGCTTGGTACAAGGATCTCCAGACACAGGGGTGACAGCACAGATCCTTACTGTGCCAGTCACCTTAAAGAGAAGTCCAGTATTCCACCTTGCACTAGAAATGGCAAGGAAAACAATACAGTCAAGCCATGAATAAACAGGTTCAATACCAACAGTGTGGATAGCCCCTCCAAACACCCATACCCGTACTGCTTCACAACTGTGCCAGGGCAATTGCTTAAAGCACAAAACCGCTTTCTACGATATGAAATAGCATTCAGAATATATCCTACAGAGTTAAAAAAACCTAAAGCTGTTGAGGATGGCTATCAGAGAACCATTAACACATATACTTTTACTATAACATAAATATTTTAAATATATATGTATATGCTTATGAGAATATTTTTATCGATATTAACATATGCAGATATGTATGGATATACACACATGCACATACTCACACATGCATGCGAATATCACCACTCCCACACATACACATATATAAATATATTCCTTCTGCTTATCAGCAACCACAGGCTGTTTACATCTTGGTAGTTAATGTTGCAGTCCCACAATCCATTCTATGAAAAAGTGTAGGTCTAAATTCTGCCCTCCATAGGTTGCCTTGCCAATAGTAAACAACATCTTCAGCAAGAAGTTAGTAGGCATTTTCTACACGTTTATTAAGTGTTATTTGATTAGATGATAGACTAGTCTAGCTGCATTTGTTGAGTTTAATGGTTCAAATTAATTGACGTCGATGTTATATCCAAATATTTGATTCTTCCTGAGATGTTTATCACTTGAAGAACTTCCTAACTTAGCCACGAGGCATTCATATTATCGATGTCAAACTGTAACAGGAGGGAGAGTGGCACTTTCCATCCATTCTGTTTTGATCAGCAACATGTGTGTCTGTCATTTATTTGCAATTAGCTCCTTTCCCTCCTCCATTAGTTCTGAGCAACAGATGGTAACCCAAACGTGTGATTTTTTGCTATTGGCATGCCCTCCATTTCCTTATGATGACCAGATGTCTCTCTTGGGTTTCAGTTCTCATGGTCTGGATATTTTTTTTTTCATGTGTATACACTAGGTAAAGAGGTCAAAGCCACAAAATTGGGAGGCAATTGTCCTTATGACAGAGATGAAGGAAAGACACTTTTATTTAAAAATATACCTAAAATATTTACCTATATAACTCGGGGAGTTACCATGATCACTAAAGTGGTTTTCCAGAGGCGAGCCTTATACATTGCACTCAAGATGTGCTATCCTCTGCCATTTTTCCGCTGCAAAAATAATTCAACTGCATAATTTACAGCCATGGGATACTGTGTTTGTGCTCTCTCCAAAAAAAAATTAAAAATAAATATCTAAAGTACAATAAAATTTAAAAGTATACTAAGAGAAGATATAGAGATGGCTGATATTTTTGTGGTATTACAGTCAGCTAATATATTTTTGTCAGCTAATGTTATTTATTATAAAGATGTAAAGAATGGACTAAAAAGAGAAAATCCACTTTTGCCTAAATAATTTGGAAGTTTCAGATACAATTTACCTTCTATGAACAAAAACAGGGGGAATAACTTGGAAGCTACTCAGTTGTATTCAAAAGTGTATTCATGACAAAATTTTCAAAAGAGATTTTAAAAGGCATATTTTGCAGAAAAAAAATTAACCTTCTTTCCCAAGCTCTCATTTGCATTTCTTCAAAGTTATGAGTCCATGCTGCTAATTAAGAATGTTTTCATGTGGAGATTTGAAGGGGAATGCTGAGTCCTAGACTGGATACTGCCTTCTGCAAGTTATTCAAGATTTTTGTTTGACTATGGCTTTATTTGATGCAAAGTGAATGCCAAACTGTGCAGGATTTGAAGAAGAATAAGTTCAAAGTACACTGTGTGAAATAAGAAAGATGGGAAGTACTTCCCCGACTCTTGCAAATGGCGATTTAGACAAAGTTATAGTGCTGTAAGGGAAGGAAAACTGCCAAAAGGGTCCAAGAAAGGCAAGAGGAACCTGTTAATACATGTGGACCATGGACCAGTTTGCATTAGAAAGGAGGATGGAGAATGGCTTGTGGTTAATGATCCTGAAGTCTGAAAACAACTGTTGCTCTGGCTGCTTGGATTTCAATAGCCACCATGCTCAGACTATGAGTCAGACGAGAGACTGCGGAGATGGTGCTCTTAGGACACAAAATCAGTGCTCAGAACCCACATAGATCAGTTTATAATTGCCTGTAACTCCAGCTAGACGACTATATATATATATATTTGTGTGTGTGTATGTGTGTGTTTCATTAGGGGTTAGACATTTTTGTGTGAGCCTAATCATTAAGAGACGTGAACAAACTCATTCCCCCCTGATAGGGAATCAATAACAGACCAAAGTGCAGATACTGCCAAAGTCCACCTTGATGAAGCAATGAGTTCTATTAAGGCGACATACCGAAAAAGAAATGACTCAGAGACACTTGATCTGCATCTTGAATGCTGACTCAGGTGACAAGCATAGGTGCATAGGTGACAGCTACGGAAACCAGAAACCTGGGAGCATGCTGAACAACCTGCAGGCACATAATTGTCACGTGTGCTAATTGGAGAGTGTCACTTCCCCATAGTTCAGTGGGTTTGAGCCTCTTTTAGACAGCTGAACTTGTCTGAGAAGCGCTCAGAAGTCCTTATAACTTATATACGCTTGGGGAGGGAGAGCCCGAGGGAATCTTGTCAGCTTCGGGGACTTCATAAGATTAATGAGCTTCCATGATGGGTGGAACGGTTCACCTCCACTTAGAACACTCTGTTGGTTCACCTCCAGTAAAGGTCCTGCTCCTTGCCACGCTTCCCTCAAATAGTGAAGGTGTTAATCTGTTACCTAACTGGCGTGGGGTTAATGGGGTACACTCAGGAAATAACTGTAATTTCACTATAAAAACCAGAGTAGAATTTAGTAAGTCAGGCTGGAAACATTTCTACAGTTAAAATTTTAATTTAGAAAATATCAGTGATTTAACTTAGTTATTTTCTGTAGTCATTCACAGTTTCATTAGATTTTTAAATTAAGCTAAAGTATACATAACAAAAAATTAGCACTTTAACCATTAAGTTAACCAGTGTTATTGTACAAACATCGTAGACAGCCATCACACCTTTCTCTATTTTCTATGAATTAATTCAAACTATTTACTTGATTAACCATCATTTTCAATTTTTTCTTCCTTCTTTCTGGGAAGCCATAATTGAACTTTATTATGAAATTTGATGACCTATGTAGATAATATAAGTATTTCATAAGCTATGATATCTCGCTTTGTGTGACAGGAATATTTCCCTAAATAGAATGTCTTTTAAAGCTGCTTTATATTAGAGGATGGGTCAGGATTTACTTCCACCTCACAACTACATACTATTCTGTTATATGTATAACACATCTTGTTTATCCATCCAAGTGTAGTTGGATACTTGGGGTATCTTTTGGCTATTGTGTATAGGAAAGCTAGGAAAATCACTGTATAAATACCTAAATGATTCCCATATTGCATTTCTTTTGTATATTTCCCACAAAAAGCATATTTTAATATACTCCCAAAACTAAGTATTTAGTTACAAGGGGGAAGACAAATCAATATATTGGTAGGTGAGTCTGAAGGGATATTTATATGCATTAAGACTTACTGTCAAGGTGTGTGTTGTTGGAGTTTGGCTAGACCAGAGATGTAATAATGATCCTGATACACTAACTTGTGGGTAGCAAAACAAAAAGACAGTTTAACAACTTCCTAGTTCATTCCAGCATTACTGTACAGAATAATGTGATTTTAGAGAATGTCACAGCAGCAATAAAGGCAGACTAAAAGAACCATGTAGCCAATTCCTAAGGGACCAACAGTCTTCCAGTTACACCATGTTCTTGTAAGAAGATAAATACACAAACAACGGAAATGATGTCTGTTTCGAATAATTTACAATAAAATGTTAACAAATGCTCAATAGCCGGAAACATCGCAGATAAAACATGAAACCAATATAAAGCCATATGGCTAATGGACTTTACTGCACAGATGGCTCGTAGAAACTTAATGAACATAGTTTGCATATTTACCATACACATGTAAGTTGGGAACTTTAAAATGAGGCACTAGGAGAGAGGGAGCTAGGCAATCAAATGTATTAAATGGGTGCCGAAAAATATGCTATCGCCAAGGAGAATAAAGCAGATGTGAACAGTGAGCAGAGCTACATACATTCAGAAACAGAAGCATCCTATTCTGAAATCATGACAAATGCTTTACTCTGTCTCAAAGTGGAGAACACACAGGCCATTATTGTGTGTGTGAGAAAATCAAGAGTAATGTGTGAATTTAATCATTTTTGATTATTAAATTAATAAATTGGAGCATACAGTATAAGAGTTGATTTAGTGTGATACAGATTTAATTTTAAACATTGTCTATATTTTAAACTATGCTAGGAGGTCTTTTTGTCTTAAAGATAATGGTCTTTTTTAATTAATTAATTGCTTTGAAAAATAACATATTTTAAGTTAAATTGAAAAGGCAACACAACAGTCCCTTGTGAAGATCATAGGTAATGTCCTTGTGTCTAATAAGTTAAATACACTAATAAGCATCCTACTTCAGGTTTACTAATAAATGTATGTTTCTAGGACTATGGTTTTCAGTCCATTGAAATAATATGGTACATTCTTCCTATTTCAATATTGACCAATATTTAAAATCATATTCACTAAATATTCATGCATTCTTTTGACATTTGCATGTCTGATAAATGCCTCTAAAGTATATTTTGTTGCTTTTGCCAAAAAAAGAGAAATTTCAAATCAGATCATGTGCAATAATGTCCATAAAACCAAGTGTTTCAACTATCTTAATTTTGAAGAAAATGTTGTTAAATACACTATATTCTTGATTTTAAAAGTGTGAGTATAACAAGTTACTGAAATAAATGTTTATACAAATCATAAAACTAAATATATTAAAAAATATGTTAAATGTGACATTAGACACCAGCCTAACTCCTGCTACTGTTTTCCATACAAATATTTTGAGAAATTTTGAATTCACAGAAAAATTTAGTGTGCCTATATTGTATGGGTATACATACAATGACTTCTGAATTATAGTATTTTATTGTATAATATGAGTATCACCAAGATTGGCTTAATCATCTACATAGACTCTACTTTAAATAACACCTGTTTCACATGGTTGTATATAGCCTTGCATGTGTCCTTATAGAATGATCATATTAGCTCAAATATCTTCGTATGGTTTGCCACTCTGTTGGTAAGATATTTGTTGCAAAGCTGTTTGTTCATCCCTGCCTCTCAGAACCAAATTAATCACTGCTTGGTCCATTAGCTCTAGCTTCTTAACGACTAACTCTTACATCTTAATTTAACCCATTTCTATTAATCTGTATATCACCACGAGGTCATGGCCTTCCATCAAAATTTCAACATGTCTACCTCTGGCCATGGATCCAAGGTGCACCCTGACTCCACTTTTATTTCTCCCAGCATTCAGTCCAGTCCTCCCCACCTACTTAAGTTCTGCCCTATAAGCCAAGGCAGTTTCTTTATTCATTAATCAATAAAAGGAACACATAGACAGAAGGACCTTCCACAGGAGATATTAAAAGAAATTTCTCCACCAATTATTAGGTACTTCTGAGTTCCAAACTAATACACACCACCATACAAGATGATGGTATAAGATGACATTCTCATTTCTACACTCCACAATTTACTCTTGGTGTGTTCATTTGAGCTGCAATCACTTTTCTCGTGCATGTAGATGAGCCATTTTCCACCTATATGCCATCAGCAATTTCTTGAATGTTTTAGTTTCATTGTAGATATCTTCCATTTCTTTGATTAAATCTATTCCTAGATATTTCACCCAGCAATTGTAAACAGGTTTCCTTTGTTCATCGACAAGGACATTATTTTAGGAGAATACTTGTTTTTTTCACTTGTTTGTTTATTTTGTATAAAAGTCTTGTTTGTTTTCCTTATTTTTGGTAGAGTATATTCTTAATTTTGTTGATTTATATATGAATGAGATTGAGGCAGCAAATAGGAAATTTCATTAAATCAGAGCTGCGAAATAGTACTATCGAATTTAATTTGGAAATTAGTTATTTTGTAAAATATTGTGTTCATGCTAGAGCAATGGGCTTGCTATTTTCCCAAAAACTACTTAGCAAAACTTATGAATATAATTTTATTTATTCTAAAAAATTGAGAATATTAAACATTTATAGACTGCCAAAATAAGAAACCTGTAACTGGAGGTTTCTCTCTCACCAGCTAGTTCCTGAATAAC